CTTGTAACTCTTAACTGTTTATATTGGGCAAACAAGGCGTAAATTGGAGACTCGTATACGAGAACACAAAACTAAAGATAATTCCAATGTATTTAAACATCACATTGAAACAGACCACAAGATAGACTATAATAACACAAAACTTCTACATAAATGTGAAAAAGGTTATAGGCTAGATCTGCTCGAAATTTTAGAAAATAACAAACACAAAAATAGCAATAACTGCGAATTATTAAATGATCAGCTTCAATGATATAATAAACCTATTTTCATGTCTCTGAGAAATCATAAAACAATTACATAACAAGTTTATTTGCCCGGGTAGTTCAATGCAGGTTTAAAACCCGCTCAAGTCTTTTTCCCAGTTCCTTTGTTCTCGTCTCACCGTCGACATCTTTTCGTTTTTCGTTTTTGACAAAATTTTTAATATATTTTGATGTCGCACGTTAATTTTACATTTTGAATTATATTGTGAATGTTTTTGTTATGATTATTTATTTTTAAATTTTAACGCGTTCATACCTTTTAAAGAAGTTTTCTTCGAGACAATGTTTTTCGTTTGAGTTTTTCGCTTTTCATGTATAAATTGCTTTGAAATTTTGACTGTAAGTTTTTTTAAACTGTTTTATTTTAATATTTTAATGTGTTTTTCGTTTTTTCGTTTTTGCTAGTTTCGACTGAAAATGAGGGTGTAACCTCGAAACTAGTCTCGATATATATTTAAATAAAAGCAAGTTAAAGAAGTTTTTTCTAGTATATCTTTTTAGTATATTATAAAATACTTATATATGTATGTATATTAATATGTATATTTAAAATATTGCATCTAGGTCTAGATGACTATATTACCGCAATGCTTATGTCATATCTTCAAGAACGAACTTTTTGTGTGAGAATAAATGGGACCTATTCAGATACAAGATGTATTAGAGCAGGAGTTCCTCAAAGAGGTATATTGTCAGCAACCTTATTTAATATATTTATGCATGATATGCTCTGTTTTGCTGACGATATGTTGATTATGACGCAAAGTAGTGATTTGGAAGAAGCTATACAACAGCTACAAGAAGCTATTAACGACGTGCAGAAACTTAAATGCGTACTAAATGGTCCTTACACCTGAATGAAGACAAATGTGAATCAAAGATCTTTACGTTACGGCGTTACCGAAATCCAACACGCGTAGTAATCAATAACACAGACCTTCATTGGAATCCTAAAGACAAAGCTGTCAAATACTTAGGCTTGCATCTTGATCAACAATTAAATTGGGGTATTCACCTAAACAACAGATTGAATTTGGGATATGCTCGATTGAAACATCTATTTCCTCTAATAAATAGAAAAAGTCATCTGAAAACTAAATGAACTATGTTGCTATATAAAGCTTTAATAAGATCTTTGGTCACCTATGCTTGCCCCCGGTATGGAGTAATGCTTCAGCAAGAAATATCCGAAAATTACAAGCTCTACAAAACAAAATTCTACGGACTAAACATAATGACTATTGAAAGTTTTATAAGAGGTGTAACTAAAAAATTCTACGAAAACATTAATAAGTGTTCCAGTGCTAGTAAGTTTAATTTGGGTTTCAAAAATTTACATCAGCGACTTAAAAGGAAAATGCCTCAAGACCTATTGTAAATTAAGCTTAAATTAGATTCCCTCGGAAAGTTACTTTGTTCCTTAGTGAATTTAGACGTTATGTTAATGTATATATGAATTCGACCATGATGTAACATGTTTTATTATGTGTTGAGCTGGTTTTAATAAATTTAAAAAAAAAAGTAGAAGAAACCTGAAGAAGTTTTACCTGAAGTTACACATGGACTGTAACTGATTTCAATTTAAAAACGACGTCGAATGCAGTTGTGTCTGAATGGTGTACAGACGGTTGTATCTTATACAGTTGTATAATTAGAAGAACTGAAAATAATTGTATGTGCTATGAACAAAAGTCGTGAGAAGCATCGCTTAGAATAAGGCAGGGGATCCTTTTTTTTAGTAGATGAACAAATACGAATGTTTTCCTAATTGTTTCATCTCGATGGGTCTTGATAAATTTTCTCCCCATATGTTAGAAATAGGTTCCTTCAATATTGTGGCCAATGTGGCATTGCGCATCTTGTGACATGCTAAGGCCTTATTGATTACTTATGAAGTTTCAGCATATACTTAATTCTAGAATCCGTTTTTTATCAATAGATGGCAAATTGTGACATATGAATTGATTTGGCAAAAAATTCAATTTATTGTATGAAACAAAGGAGCCAGCGTTGTCTTTCTATTACAGTACATGTTTTTTGCCATTTACACCAAAGTAACTTTTTCTTCTTCTTCTTTCTCTTGTCCCCATTTTGCCTCACGGTTTTGACCCCTGAATCCATCTCCAGTAGGTGTTTCTGTCTCTTCCTTCTAATTTTTTATTGAATATTTTCTTTGGTATTCTTTCTTCATTCAATCGAACAAGCTGGCAATATCATTCCAGCTGTTTTTCTTCTATCTCATCTACTACTTAAAGCACTCAAGCTTAGTTCTTCTCTGATGCTCTTGCTTCGTACAATATTGAGAGCCTGGTGAAATATTTCTTCAACCACCGTTCTATTGCCAGTTCGTCTATTTTTAGTAGTTCTGGTGGAATGTTGTCTTTGCCTGTTGCTTTTCCATTTCGGGTTTCCTATAGGGCTTCTACCATAAGTTGAAGGTGGAGGTAACTTCTTCTTCTCTAGTCTCTATCCGTTCCTTACGTCCTCTTCTTCCTTTACTTCTTCTTTAAATCTTGCAGTAGTCATTCCATGGTTTCAGTGTGTTATTTGTAACTTTTCATCTTGATTACTTATTTGTCGTGGTCCTTAATTGCACGAAATTTAAAACCTTCATATTACTATTGTATAACTTATGAGCTGTTACTGTTCATTCTTATAATTTTTACTTAATATCTTGCTAAATTCATTTGAAGTTTCCTATTTTGTTCTTTACCCGGCTTTCCTTGCTTCCTGGCTCCTCCGTCGATATAGTCTAAATCTATTTAAAGTTTCTTTTCTCTGTTTATTCATTCCATTTCCCCATTTGACTCTTGTTTGATTTTGGGCAGTCTTATTTATTTTTGTTTCACACTCTTCACATTTTGGCTTCCGTATCTTATGGTTCTAGAATATGTTATGTAATCTATTACACTTTTCAGTTCTCTTTCGTCTACTTCATATGATACCTTATGAATAGTTTTATGTTTCAAACACGCGTTCCTATTAGTACTTGGTTATTGATGCCGAAATCTATCATTATTTCGTCGTCGTTATTCAGTGTCTCTTCTCCTCCCTGTTCTCCCTTTGTGTCCCAATCGCCGATTATCATAACATTCTTACACTTAGTTTGTGTTTTCTGTGCAGTTTTTTTTAGGTGATCGTAGAAAATATTTATGTCTGTAACATCTCTATCTTCTGTTAGTGCATATATTTGTATTATCCTGACCACTTCTGCTAATATGAAGAAGACTATTAAAATTATCGAGTTCATGAGATGAGTTGGTTATCGTGGCTTCCACAGCCTCTCTAGTTATGTTATTATCTTTCGCTGATACCCATAATCTGTATATTGTATCTATTTCTTCTTCTCATCTACCATTTCTGCTTATTTTCCTGTCAAGGTTTTAATGTTATTCGTTGTCTCGCCGGCCATTGTTCAACTCCGAGGTAGTCGCCATTTTTCTGAATCAATTATATCTCGAAGGAGTGACTAGCTAAACAAGGATCTCGTTACCTCGGGACAACTGGGGTCAGGTTACACCCTCGTCTATGAGTTACCAGAGCTCCTTTAGTTATCTAACAGGGTGTACTGGGTATCAAATTATACCACTCGTGTAGGTGGGGTTGACGTTTAGGTCCTTAGGTGTTGATGGACGCCTAATTTTTTCAAAATATTTGGCAAATATATCACTGTCCAGCTAAAACGTCTCTCAAACGATGCAAACATTTGCCAGGAACAAATTACAAGTGTAATAAGACAAAAGCGATTGCAGTTTTTGTATACAGACTATCATTATTAGTATACTCTGTATTTTGAAGCAAGCGTTGGTATCTTAAAGTTACTTGCAACGTTAATTTTTGGTGGAATAGGTTGTTTTTTACAAACCTGAACTTTCTATGCAAATTTGTCTACAAATACAATTAAATAATTTCTATATCCTTCTTTATCCTCTAAAACTAGCTCCTTCTGTAAGGTTCTGATGCTCCTAATCTACTAACCATTTGTGTATTCTCGCCACAACTAAATTTTATTCTATTTGGCGATTATTTGCAGCTTTCTCGCATCCCAACCGCCAGCGGTCCTTATCATTCCAATCATCTTCGCCCAGTCCTCTCCTCTTCATCTCCACATTGATAGCCTGGATCCATTTTTTCCTATCTATATGCCTACCTTTTTTGTTTCTTTCTGCTGGCACCCAGTTCATGTCCATACCATTTTAGTTGCTTTTCATTTATACTGTCCATTATGGAGTTTTGTGCCACCATTCTTCTACTTATTTCCTCATTTTCAACTCGATTCAGCATGGTTATGCCGCAGCATCTTCTCTAAAACATCATCTCTCTTTGAGTTCTTTATCGCTTTTTTTCCTCTGCCAACTTTAGTGATTACATCTTTATTGTCCTTTCCGTCTTCGTTTATAACTATCCCCAAGGTTCGTATTCGTACTGGTTTACATGTTACCATAACTAAATAAAATGTTTTATATATTTTTTTAATTTTATTAACATATTTTCAAAAATAAAATAATATATGTGCATATATGAACATGTGCTAAAGAATGTAAGTATAATAGGATTGCTAATTAATTAAATTTATAAAATATTTTGTTATAAATTTTAGAAACTTTATGTTCATTCTTTTCTAACAGATGAAACCTGTATATAGTTATCCTTTACTAGTGGTGCGATCAAATTATTTGTGTGGCAACTCAAATTATTAAAGTAGCTAACTTCACGAATATTTTGACATATGTTTGAATCTGACAACAGTTAAGAGGTTAAAAATTTATGTCGTAAATAAGTATATTACATATTTCGTAAAATATGAGTACAAAAAAAATTCAAGCCGATGAATACTCTCTGCAATATTACCGGATAAATGCACCGATTGTAATGCACTTATGTAAGTACAAACAATAATCTTTGTTTTACTTAAACGATTAAGTATTATCTTTAATTTTTTAGTATTTGATTCGTTAACATTAACAATTGGTGACTATATGCATGAATCTGAAGAGGAATATTTATCAGAATATCCAAAACAAAAGGTTTTAGGAGTATTCAGAAACCTTCGGAAAGAATATCTTAAAAATATAGTAAGCATAATGAACGAAAAAGAGGAAGAATTAAGAGATTTACTATTAATACCACCTAACATATTATTACCTGAAGATAAGTTTTATTCAAAAATATATTCAGAAGAAGATGTAAAACAATTAAAAAATGAAATAGATGAATTAGAAAAATTATATTTAACAAAAAAAGCTTGTAAATGTACTTATGAAAAAGAATTGGAAACATTAGAGAATTTATTAACTTCGTATCAAAATATAAATGGATTTGCAAATAAATTAAAAAAGATACAGAAAGTTGCAGAGAAATCTAAATTAAAAGAAATGTTTAATGTATATGATAAGTGTGTGAGTGCTCTAATGGAAAATCTTGATTTTGATGTTGAAGAATTAAAATTTTAAAATACATTAAATGCATATATTAATTTAAGAAGTCATATATTTTTTATCAATTTAATATTAAAAATTAATGAGAATTTACAAAAAAAGATAAAATAACTTAAAACTAAATCTTATATAACAATAGAATTGCTTATTATACATAAATTAACTTAAAATTATATTATTCTCTATTCTCACTTTAAATAAACCTATACAAATTGTTTTATTATCATAATTTATTACACATATATTTCCTTTTCTTATAAATACCCATGTTGGTTATGATGAATATTACCAGAATTAATCTGTAAAAAATGAGATTGCAAGGAATGACCAGAAACTGGAATAACTTGGCTAGGATCCAACATTATTGTCGGTTGACACAATAAGATTTGTTCCCCAATATCAGAGTCGCTCACCAACACTTGAGTTACCTGCTGATAATGGGGAACCTCTAATTTAATACTATCCATATTTTGTAAAGGAACTAAATGGTTTAATTGGAATGTCGGCTCCAAATTTTGTATTTCTAATTGGCCATGCTCAATCAGTTGATCTTGATGAACATGAATTATATCACTTGGTTCCCTATGAACACTAACACCTTGATTACTTGGATGATGAATCACAGATGATTCATGTAAAGAATTCGATGTTGTGTGATTATTATGGTTATTAATCGGTTTTGATGTAGAATCTAAACCTTTTTGAACCATATCTGCAATTAATTTCGGCAATTTCTCATTTGGTAATATCGTTGGCTTTGGTGCCTCAGGTTGTGGATCACAATTATGAACAAAACATGAGAATTTTTCCGTTTTATTTACTTGGTGGAGATGCATAAAATTTATCTAAAAAAATACCAAATATAAATAATCTATTAATTCTTAAAATAAATCTAAATCACCTTAATAACAACATTTAATCCTAATTTAGTATGCTTGTTCTTCTTTCTCGTCTGGGGGTTATCAGTAAGAACTTTCATATCAACAGTTCCTTTACATCTTCTTGCATCAAATAATAATTCCTTTTGCACGATTTTACCACCGTGTGTCCAACACTGATATTGCTTTCGAAACCTTATTTTTGGGCCTGTATTAGATACTTTTTTAACCCAAACCGTGTTGGTTATTGAGGAGAAAAGGTCGACCCAATCGTCACATAAAGCATTAAAATCCTCGCTATTACGGGGTATTTGCGTTCGAAATTTTACCTCGAAATGTTTCTCTTCGATCCATTTAGCGTGGATAATCTCAAATTTTCGATTTGTTGTGGTAAGAATCTCTGTAAAATCAAGTGTAGCCCGCTCGTCGTCTGCCATTTTGTGTGGCCCCCTTAATTGTAACGAATTTCACACCATTTGAAACTGTCATTGTATGGACGATTTTTTTTAAATTACATGTAAGTTTTATCAAAATACTTTCTCCGGTGATTATTTCAAAATGATAATTGGTTCCACACAAAAATATTTATAAAATCGTGGTTTTATTAATCAATTTAATTTAGTCTCTTAGAATTGAACCAACTTCATGTTATTAATCTGATCTGTCATTATGAAAATTTCTAGGTTATGTTGCCTTTGAATCGGTGATTCTTTTAAAAGTGTTTTTTTTTTTCAATGAAAATCCCAAATTTTTTAAAAAGTATTATTGTTGGAATACCGATTGGTATTACGGTGTTAGATTCAGTGGGATATGTAGCAAGAGTAGATGGACACTCGATGCAACCGTCTCTGAATCCTGATAAAGAAGTTACAGATTATGTTTTCTTGAACCGATGGTCTGTTAGGTCACACGAAATTACAAGAGGGGATATTATCTCGTTAAAGTCTCCAAAAGATCCAGAACAAAAAATTATTAAGAGAATCGTTGGTGTAGCAGGTAAAAAGTTATATAACAAGAAAACTTAAAAATGTATTAACCAAATTCTTTTAGGTGATATAATTTTAACATTAGGCTACAAAAACGAAGTAGTAAGAGTTCCTGAAGGTCACTGTTGGGTTGAAGGTGATCATACGGGGCATTCTCTTGATTCCAATAATTTTGGTCCTGTTTCCATTGGACTTGTAACAGCAAAAGCAACATGGATAGTGTGGCCTCCATCTAGATGGCAATCGATTAAATCACAAGTACCTGATTCAAGAGCTCCTTTAAACATGTCCCGTACAATCTTAAACTTATAAGAGAATAGCACCAAAATTGTTTACAAAAGAATAAATGTTTAAAAATGCGTTCGATTTCATTAATTAATCACTTGGAATTTAATTTTAATGGCAGTGTTGTAAGAAAAGGAATAACATTAGGCGATGTTGATAATGATGGAAATTATGAACTCATTGTGGGTAATGAAACTGGGGATGTAGCAATTTTTAAAGCTTTAGATTGTTGGCAAACTATTAGTAATTTGGGGTTTGTTAGTTGTGTCGTAGTTGGTGATGTGTTGAATCAAAATAGGAATTGTTTGGTTATTGTAACTGCGGATGGTTGGTGTTTTATATATTCAGCAGAAGAAAATGGGGGAGATGCTGGGGATGATGTGGATAAAATCAGTGAGAATATGGAAAGTTTAATATTTTCAACAGAAAGTAATTGTTCATCAAGAAGTGGATCAATTGCGGGGGATGGTAAAGAAGAACCAAGAGTTTTTTTGAAACGAATTCATGCTCAAAGAATACCTCCCAATACAAAGGTAAAAAAAGATAAACTAAACCAACTATAAAATACTATTTATGATTTTTTTTTGCTGTATTTTAATAAAATAAAATGTTTTTTGTGTACTGTATAATTTATTTTTTTGTCATTTAGGATATTTTGTTGGGTGATATTGATGGTGATGGTGCAATAGAAATGGTACTTGGATTAACAGATAGAGTTGTTCGTTCTTACAGATGGGTGGAAACTGTTAATGATCCTACAAAAGTTCCCTCAAAACCTGAAATAATAGGTAAGGTGTAAGAACTTAGATGGAAAAGTTGTGGAACATATAATTATCACAACATAATTATTCTAAAAATGATTATATATTTTGATGATATGGTTTTGCTAAAAGGGGCAAAGTAGGAGGCCGTGAAATAATTTAATATCAAAATAGAAGTTTTTTTTTACATAAACATGGTACCTAATAGTATATTAAAAAACTAGTTTCATAAGACACGCTTGAAATGCACGAATTCAAGTTTTTTAAAGAATGAGCGCATTAAGCCGTATGAAACGTGTTTTTTTTGTAATTCGCGTTTTATTCTTTTTTTTTAACAAAAATAAAATAAATTTTGACAATGTAGGGAAATTGGTATGTAGCAGTTGGTAACAACGTAACACTTGAAAATAGAAATTTGAATTGACAATTAGAAATTGTCAAAACACAAAATGTATTCACCTGAATAAAATGTTTCATGTAAAATTAATAAAATATCACCAACTTGAACTGGTTCCACAAAATGTTACTAAAATCTCATTACAGCACCCGTTTCAGTACTGTAATAGCTTTCATTACTCTCGCGAATTACAAAATAGTATATTAAAAAACTAGTTTCGTAAGACACGCTTGAAATTCACGAATACAAGTTGAAAAATGAGTGGCGAAGGGGCGAAGCCACGAGTTTTTTAATGAATGAGTGCTTTAAGTCTTATGAAATGTGTTTTTTATGCTATTTTTTGTAATTCGCGTTTTTATCTTTTTTTTTTAACAAAAATTAAATAAATTTTGACAATGTAAGAAAATAGGTATGTAGCAGTTGGTAACAACGTAACACTTGAAAATAGAAATTTAGAGAAATTGCTCAGAGTTCAATGTCCTCATCATTGTGGACCTTGTGTTCGATGCTAAGAACATATTTATACATCCATAGACAAAAATTGTCATATTGACAACTAGAAAAATTAATAACCCAATTAATAATGTATATTGTGGAATAGATTTTGCAGAAATCCTTCTTTCTTTAAATTCTTTTTGTCGCATATCCTTTCTGCTCGTTGGAGCTAGGCTTGGATCACCGACTTCTCCTATTGTGGATGATGATGGGAAGAAGCCTGTAGATAGCTGTATGTGTGTGTCTTCTTCTGATACACTCCCACTCCAAGTGACCACTCCCCATCTGTCTTCCTAGTGACGAATACATCCTGGAAAGATAATTGTTTTGCTGCTTCCGCTTCCATGGTAAATTTGATGGTGGGGTGTTGCGAATTCCTGGAGTCGCTCTTGTCCATGTTGTCAGATTACAAAGGTGTCATGTATGTAACGGAGCCATAATTAATAAATAATTCTAATTAATAATTCTTCCTTAACGCTTCTTCTTCAAACATCTCCATGTAAAAATTGGCGACTGGTGATCCCAAACAAAGAGATCCCATGTCTATCCCTTCGCATTGCTCATATAATTCTCCCTTCCCGATAAAATATGTTGATGATAGGCAGTACCACTAGCTCTAGAACATACTTTGATAAGTCCTCCGTGATGAGTTTCTGACGAAAATCTGCTCCTACTAGCACTCTGGTAAATAGAGATTCCACATCGAAACTTACCAAGATATCCTGTGGATCTAACTTCATACTTTTGACTAATTCCACAAAATGCGTGGAATTTCTGACATGTGATTCTGTTTTACCTGTAAAAGAAGACAGAATCTTGGCAGTGTTTCGCCAGCTGATACGTTGCGAGTTTATGGCACTGACAATAGGGCATTGCGGGACATCCGGTTTATGGATTTTAGCTAATCCATAATAATAATTTATTTCCAAAAAAACTCAAAAGCTACAGGTCGTCAGACACAATATTTGTATTTCATTCTGTAATTCACAACATTATAGAAAATATAATAATACAGAATCTGTGACAAGATTTCTACAGCTTCAGTTTTCCAGGTGAATCCATGAACTCGCTGATACTGTAGTATGGGTTTTCACCAAAGTGCTCCCTTAATCTCTTTTTGTAATGGAGCATTGATGTACAGTCAAAAAAAAAGAGATGCGTCGACTTTCGTTCGTACAGGCCGTCCAAATCACATTTTCGTGGTTCATTTTACATACTGTGTATGGGATTTTGTGTAATTTGGACGGCCTATACGAAAAAACGTCGACGCATCTCTTTTTTTTCTGACTGTAGGTGTATCTATATGTTAATTTTATGCCTTGATAATACACCGATTGTTGACACGATTCCTCATACTATATTGATGATATTGCGCTCTACACGACACTTCATTCATGTTTTGTTTTGTGAAAAAGATATACAGTGAATAGACAGTCATTTCAGAGAACTCTCTAGGAGTACTCCCAGTAGTTTAGCAGCTGTTGCATCAATGGATTTAGTGTGAAACTCAATTCTTTCTGCTTTTTCTCATTCAGTTGCAGTCTGTTAACTTTAAACCAGTCAGAAGCGACCATCCGACTAAAAACTTCATCTTCTTTTAGCTTGTCATTGGAAATCGGCTCGTTATCGCCCCGGTATCGTCTGCAAACATTATAGTACTGCATATTTTCAAGAATTCAGGGAGATCATTAACATACAGCAAGAAAAGAGATGGCTCCAAGATGGAACCCTGCGGCACACCAAGCTCAACCTTTTTAATAGTCAATGTAAAAAAAACTGCGATTTTGCACTTCAAATGGATTAATTTATTTATTTTCTCTCTACCGGTTTCGTCACGTTAATCGTAGCATCATCAGGAGATTTCGTCAAATGTTCACAATAGATTTTTAAGATAAAATATTTTGTGAAAATTTGACGAAATCTTATTTACATTGAATATAAAATGGAAAGAAAATCATTAAAATAATATTTTTAATAGTCGACTTGTCATTACCGTTTTGTACCAGTTGTCGGTTTATCAAGTAACGTTGTAGCACCGTGTGAGAGGTAGTGTTGTCTTATCTTTTTTATCACCTCCCTCCAGAACTGCCTAAATAGCATGATGGTCTAACAGATGAGGATTTATGATTGATACAGTACATTTATTTTCATAAATGGACGTAATACACAAGTTATCAATACATGTTTATGAGGTACTTATGCGAGTTGGTTGAAAGACTTTTTGTTTTAAGTCAAAAGATTCCATAAGATCTTTCAATTTCTTAGTTGTATGGCTATTTTCCATAAAATTTACATTGAAATCACCAAATAACATGACACTATTTTGAATACTCGTCACAGCATTTAAGGTTACTGCCAATTTGTTAATAAAATCAAAAAAATACTATTTCAAAATTCTTTTCCTCATTTAGAATTGTTAGAATATTCAAAATAGTAGACTCTAAATCACTGTGAATAAATATTTCAACTCTTCCTCGAAAGAGAGATCTGCTAAAAGATGCAACCAGAGAGAAATTTTTAAAAGTTATCAAATTGAGTTCATCTTTTTTCAACCAATGCTCACTTATACATACAATTTTTATCTGATATTGTTGCAGTACAACTTGCAAACTTTCAATCTTTATACATATATTCTTGATGGTATTGAGACTGCTCTATTCTGCTGTAGATTTCACCAATTCTTTAATTTTTCTTATTATCTTCTCGGTTGGGTCCTTCTTGATTTTCTTATAGGTGGCTGGGTCCAAAATCGGTAGATGTAGGTGGTTCGTCATCTTGTTGTCGTATTCTTTTTTATCTATGACCACGGTTCCATTCTCTTTGTCTGCTGGAAGGACGATGATGTTTGTTTTTTTTTCTTATCGTCCGCAGTGCCTTCCTTATGTTAATTGTTAGATTTGGTTTTGGTGGCTTTGCTCTTCTGAGCGACTTTGTAATTGAAACCATTGGCGAGTACTGTAATTTCCTCCTCTGGAGACGCTTGAATCGTTGTTCTTCTTTTTGTGGATATAGGAGTTTGTTTTTCCAGATCGGGTATCTGAGGTGTTCCGATATTGTGGCAGCTTTGATGACTTATTTCCTTACTTCATCTTCCAGAAACTGTACCTGTGATTTTGCAACCAAAGTATTCGAATGACATGGTTTGTTCAAACATTACCAGCTTACAGCGCAGCGGTTCCTCTGCAATGGTTATGCATTCCGTTTTCCTGTCCGTTTGTTAAAAACTGATAACATTCTATGGAGGGCATCTGCTGATTCCCGCAATAAGTATTGCGTCGTCTGCATAACACAATATGTTTTGGATATCAAATTTCTAATATAATATTTGCAGCAACTACTTTCCATTTAATTCATTTTTTGTATTGGCAATTCAATCATAGACTTGAACATTTTTTAGTTTTTCTAAAAAATTTCAATTTGTGTTTCAGTCTGGAATCTTTCAAAGACTAACTATATACTTTGTATAAAATCGTTTTGTCAGTCTAAAAACTTTAATAATTTTTATTTTCATTACATTTTAAATTGTCTTTCATATAGGTAAATTAGTGGCTTTGAATAAATGGGAATGTGCTCAACAAATTGGATCAGTTTCTCTTCATCATTCAGTTGATGGAATACCTTCCTTATTAGTTGCTCAACCTGGTGGGACATTTATGCGAATAAAACATCAATCTGTGGACGTTACAGAAGTGACTAATTCTTCAATTATTCCTCCATCTGCACAAGTAACAAATTTGGATCAATGTGACGATCATGGGTAAAAATTTTAAATTTTCAATCAATGTTCTATAATAAGTATTGTTCTTTTTTTAGTGATTTAGAAAATTTAACTGGATTTTCTGTTGATTATCAATTCTTAGGTATATCTCGAATGAGAAATTCAAATATTTCAACTGAAATTTTAGGTGATTTAGTTACTAGTACGAATTCAAATGATTTAGATAAAGAAAGTAAAAGTGATGAACATAAAGAAACTCAACAAGGCTCTCCTTATGCTGTAGCTACACTTGATGGTACAATAATGTTGGTTCAAGATGAAATAATTCTATGGTAAAAAATATATTAATGTAAAACATTTAATATTTTAATTTAATATTTTAGGGCAATTGCAGTTGATCATCAATTATTTGCATTAACAAAATTGGATGTTACTAAAAATGGGTTGGATGAAATTATTGTTTGTTCATGGGATGGCCATACTTATATATTAGATCAACAAAAAAACACAGTTAGATTTCAATTGAATGAATCTGTGCAAGCCTTTGAAGTGGGTTATTATACATTAATTCCAGGAAGTGCGCCAGTAACTTGTTTTGTTTATATAACTTTTCGTAATAAAATTTTGTTGTATTTTGATATACCCCTGAAAAATATGATTTGCAAAAAATTTGAACTGCCAAACTTACCGAGTCTTGAAAACATTGTAAATTGTGATCTGGAAACTCTGACTAGTACAGATAAAAAGGATATTGTTGAATATTTACTATATGGTTTAAAATCTTAATAAAAACGCCTTTTTATTTACATATGGAATTTTATTGTAATGTAAATATTCGCACAACTAAAATCGGAACGAATTAATTTAAAATCTAATACAATTCGTTACTTATCGATTAGGCCTTAAATTTAAATGTAGGCATAAATCTTATTTTCTTTTTTAAGGCTAATCGTAATAATCGCTAGATTTTTTTCTACGAGATATGTACACCTCAAATAGTATTTATATAAATTTATTTTTACATCAATGGGAGCAACAAGAATGTTCTTTTTTGCTTGGTATCAAGTAGTTGACAAATTTAATTTTTAAATTATCTTGTTTCTGTAAATCATATAATACGCGTAATTCTTATATTTCTACTCAATATTTACAATTAATAACAGGGATATGACTTTTTTTATAATATTTAAAGTTCTCTTTTAATTATTACTGGGTATGTAATTTACAAGGCGTTAATAATGAACGTTATTTGATAGGGTAAGGATAAGATTTTGTTTGTTTATTTTTCTTCTTTTCGTTGCATACATTGATATAATTACCAATAATAAAAAAAATTAAATAAAATAACCTTGTTTTTATGTTACTAAAGCGTAATATTTGCTGATTAAAAAAATACTTCTTCAAAGTTTTTCTTTAAATCAAGAAAAATTAATTAACCACATTTCTTTGAAATCATTTTTAACTATCATATATAAAGCAATCGAATTAAAAATTTTCTGGAGAATTTATAATATACATTGGAATTCATAAAAATCTACTTGAATTCTAATTAATAGCGACAACATATTGATTGTAACAAAATTAATTGGGTGATGTGAAACTATTTGAGCTAATGGTGTGAATTTGTAATACATTGCTATTGTTTAAACACATAATTTATTAATTCCTAGACTTGTATATGACTTAGTTTTTGAGATATAATCGAAAATATAATTTTTATCCCCTCTTCAAACATGTGGTTTTCCGGATGTATTATAAAACATCAATCTTATTTGGGGTCATTCTAAACTACGCATTGTTTTAATGACATCGACAATAATGTCGATATTGCAATGAAAAAACACTTTTTGCTCAATCAAAATATGTTATTAGCTACTTATATAATACAATTTTAAGGTATTTTCATTGTAGAACAGAAAGTATGCGGAAAGATCTACAACTCTGACGAGTTAATATCTTTGAATCATTAAATATGAGATAACTATGTAACTAATACAGTTGTTAATTTATGTGTGGAAGCGGAAGTAAACTGTTGGACACACATAAACTGTTGAATTTATAATACCCAGATCTATCTTTCAATATTTTCAGAAGAGAGCGAAAATCATAGACTATGGCATGGGGTTTCAGGCTGAATATGACGCCATGGAGATTCACTGCATGTGTTTCTACATCAACATTATCTTGTGTAAAAATCCGCCATATCTATATGCTAAAATTATTTCGCACATATTCATAATATTAGGCATAAACACACTAACGATACCAACAAGTATAATTCGCTGCTTGATTCCTTGAAGATTATTGGTCCACTTTTATTCATAAGCAGAGTAAGAGATTATTTTAGTGAGTACTTAGTTACTTAAGTATGTATATATTTTTCTTCAAGGTTCTTTGGTCGTTTTATTTACTTTTTTGCTAAAGCAAGCTATACATAACCATTAGTACCATCTCTCTATGTGATATCTAACCGGTATATTAGTGTATTGCTCACTAATACTCCCAATATTTTATTGCTAAATACTGCTCAATTATTAATAAATATGGCACATCATAAGACAAATGTAATGCAAATTTTCGTAAAAGGTTTTATTAAAAACGTTTTGACACGTAGGAATATTGCTCATATTTTAAGCTAAGCAGAAATCATTTTTGGTGATGATCTATATAGTTTACTAAAAGCATCTGGAAATAGTAAATGGGAAGTTGCCAAGAAGTAGTCAAAAGGGAGCGGAAGCAAACAAAATGTAAATAATTTTGCAAGAAAATGCTGACAGATATTTTCTTCATTCTGATGAAAATGTGACGAACAAAACATTGATGCGGATTATTTCACTCCGCCCAATGTAAGTGATATATGGATGTAAGAATTTGATAACAACAGGTGTAACAACCATCAAGCTATGCAAGATAGTACTGCAACAAATCGAAGTTAAAAGTCAAAGAAAACGTGGAATAAACTAAAATCTAACACTTAAGAGCAAATAATACTTGAGGTAAAAAAACCTAAAAGGCTAACCTAATACTTTTCTGGTACTAAAATATGCGAAAGGGTATTAGAGTTCCAGTGTAATCGCCTTTGGAGACCTTAAGAGAACATTTTTTGAAAAAATGTCTGCTTCTATGTATTTGGACCAACGAAAAGTGTTCATGATGCAAAATTATTACAGTTTCAACGAAACCATTAGTAATTCCCAACGCATCATCACCTTTCAGTATTTTCTGAGAGTTGGAAATGAGAAATCACCAGTCTAAACATATATAAATATGCTTAAAAATACTTTACTTAGAAGAGTAAGTGAAACTGCAGTTTGACACACAAACAGTAAGACATTAACAATAAGACAACAACAACAAGAACGTCGGCAGGAAAACTTATTAACAACTAAAAGTGTGCAACTCGCTGCTTACTCAGACGATATTAACGTTATGTGTAGAAGGGCTGAATCAGCATTGCAGGCGAAGAAACGAAGAGAGATATTATAGGGCTTGAATTGGAAATCAAACAACAAAGATATTAACACAGTTAAAAGAAAGCCGACCCAGACCCATTACAATAGATGAAAGACAAAGAGCACAAAAAATAAACTAAGTATATTTGAGAGAAAAGTATTACGAAGAATACTGAAGTCGATAATAGATAACATGAAGATATAACAACGAATTGTATTAAGTTCGCAGAAACGCCTCCACATACTAGTTCGTCAGACATCAAAGGTTGCAATGGGCAGTACATATTAGCAAGATGAAGTCTACCAAAGAGAACTATCAACGCTAAAATGCATGGATAAATCTATGTACCAGTAGACAGATCCCGAAAACGATAGGATGGTTATGTGTCCAATTATGCATGCGAGCTGTTGTGGATGAGAATGTGGCGAAGAGCAGCAGCACACAGAGGGAAATGGAGGCAGAAGCTAAAGGAAGCCAGAGCTTAATTTAATTTTCTTTGAGCTTCTTTGTTACTAGATTCATCTAGATCTTTGTTTCTAGATCATCTTATTGTTTATTACAAAGATTTTGGTAATGAACATGGTACAATATTTGTTGCTTTCAAATAAAGTTGACTGGATTGACACTTTTGTGATTATTTTCTCGGTAGATGAAAATTTCGTTTTTAACATGTTTTGGACAAGAAGTGTTACTCTGAATAATAATAATAATTCAATAAATGTTTGCATTGCAGGAAAAATATTTTTTTATTGTAACACCATTTATTATGTTTGCGTAGTGAAATTAATTATGCTTAAGAGCTATTTACGTCCTTTAACAACTTTTTTTGACATGATCGAAAGAACGTCGGTGCTCACCTGGGTTGCCCTGTTTTAAGTATTTTCATTGATTTATAACTAAGTAAATAATTCAAATCTGATCCTCAGAGATGTTTTAAGCATTTTTGGATTTAAAATATTGTAGGTAAATAATAAATTTCCAAACATTAAAGTTATAAAGTCAAATTTCTAATTGCTTCCAATGTAACGTGATCACAATAACTCCAGATTGACGATTTCAGAAAAATGTGGTTATTTAGATTTGGAAGTCATCTTTTAAGTGGCGAAATTAAAACATAATCATCTCAGTTTGTAATGAAGTTTTTTCAGCGATTCCTTTTTAATCAACCATTTTTAATTAATCAATTAAAAACACATAAACTCAACAAAAAGCCATGAACTTTTCTTTATAAAATTTAAAAATCACATAAGTATTAGTTTTTTCGATCCCAACCAGAATTATAAAACCAAGATTCATCTCTGGTCTTACTCCATGTCGTTTCTAGAGTATTATCCTGGAATTCATCAATAATTTTAGTTACGGTACTTGCAACTCTGTGACGCTTATTGATGTAGTTACTTACTCCGAATTGGGAATGTCCCATCGACGTCGAACTCAAATAATCCATATTGCTATAATAAGGGTAATTGTTGTAACAATTTGTTGTGGAATTCGTTGTTAATACTCCAGGTTGTGTTGTCCACGTACGGTGTTGGTCCAATGAAAACGAATCTATAGATGCTGGAGACCAAATACTTGAATTTCCAGCGTTGGTATAAGACGATGGCATTATCTAATAATAATGTAACAAAAAAAAATTAATAATTTCTTTTTAATAAAATCATCAAACTCACCGTTGGCGATGTTGTAGAACACGTCGTCGTAAATATTTGAGGTTTCGTATAATTTGGGCTATCACGAAGATGAGATGTAGTGTGGATTCCTGGTGAACTTGTCGATGATCTATAATAAAAACAAAATATGGATTAAAGAATTAAATATAAAACAAAAATATCTTACCCTGTACTGTTGTTGTTATTATTAGACACACTCGGTGATGTTTTTGCTAATGTAGTTGTCGTCGTCGTTTTACTTTTTATTCGCGTCGATTTTTCGATGGTTTGTTGTTGGTTTTGCTGCTTTTGTTGTTGTCTACATTTTGCTCTTCTATTTTTAAACCATACCTTAATAACATAAATAAAATACCTGGTTAAAATTTTAAATATTTAAATAAAGATTATACATAAAATTATATAACTATATAAACCTTTTAAATATCAAGAGAAAAAACTGGAACATTCAATGTAGGCACAATAGAAGTAAAATAAGGTTTCTCATTACGTCAGGAAAAGTTGTCGCCAGTATCGATTATTTGTTAAAAGTAACACAATACCTTCCGGACATCCGATAAATGCATTCAAGTAATTTGCAAGAACGAATTCCGAGTTTTAAAATTAATATCCTATGTATAGAATTGTTTCGTAGGTATAAGCTGTACGAATCTCGTCAACGATGGCAAACAACAATAGTCCTAGAGAAGGGTTTGTATATGCATCTGTGTACTATAATGATATAGCTACTGCAACAGTAACGGCAGCAGCAGAACAACAAGCACAGAGGCGTTGACGTTTCCCTTCTCTCCAACAATAACAAAGGGTCAGTGCGATGTTTGCTTTACTGCTTGTCCACAGTATGGATTTACTGTGTTCCGTTCAATTAATAAAAACAAACTTTTGCTTAGTCATTTTCTAGTTGTTTATTTATTTTTATTTCCCCGAGGAAACAAGAAGTTTAAGATGAATAACTTTCATTCTGAAAATTTATTAATACTTCCTTATTAAAGTGATCGCACAATTTCATCACAAAAACCTTCAGCGTCTCGTTACAACTGGTTTTCACGATAAATTATACCATTTAGGCCCACTTTTACCACCTCTTGATAAATTTAACCGATAGATAAATTGGTGCTCTTAGCCAATGAGAACGCTTAATACCGCTGTAACCATGGTAATTATCTATCGGTTAAATTTATCTAGAGGTGGTAAAAGTGGGCCTTAGTATAGTTAAAAGCATTCCAAGAGTTAGTTTTTTGTTTTATGTAAACAAAGGTTTGATTAAGTGTTTTGTGGTAAATGTTGTGTTGTATGCAAACTACAACATTGGGTTTGAAATTTGTTTGGGGTAAAAGTTGTAGATAGGATGGCGTACAGATATCAACGTGTAGCAAATTACTACTACTTTGTAAACATAATCTGAGATGATTGAAGTTTTTGACGTTTTGATCTCAGTTGAGTTGTCAAAAATAATCTGTACTCCAATTAAGGTTACAGACAATTCAGTTAAGATAATTGACATCATTGTTATATCTAGCAGTAATCCGGATACTACATCCCACTACTTGCTTATTTGCTATTAACTATATTTGCAATGACTCCCAATTGGTCCAAACATCTCATTTCATTTATTAACTATCCAAACCTCCTTCTTTTCATAGTATTGGTAGATATGCCCATAATGCAATTTGGTAATCTTCTATTTCTTGTGAGCATTTCACTCGGTTTCTAATGAGATGCATCTGATGGTCTAATTATTTTCGAAATCTCCATTATAATAGATTCTTTTAAGTAAGCAAAATACTTTAAAAAATATCAATTTTATTTCAACTCTTAGTTCCACTTACTATGTGATACTGAGTTGTTATTATCATTCTACTTTTGCTTCAGTACATAGACTATTCAAATTGTGCCTCTTACCACCAGTCTTTTTTCCTTTTAATAGTAACTAATGACCAGTCTCAGTGTTGAATGGTTCTTGAAATACATTTTATATTCACGGCCACATAGTAACGGTGTGGATATAATGCACAAGTTACAATAACGGAAGAGAGCGGGTGTGGTTCACGAACTCTCCCCAGTCGCCGTGGGGGTTGTACGTGACCACGCATCTCCAATCGAGTCTTACACAATTCGGCGGCCCCATTCACCAAGAACACTAAATGGATCACTTTCCAATGGTGTCGCGGTGATTTATCGTGTAGCATCGATGCTTTTAGACTTGGTTCCTCTCGTCTCTTGTAATGTACACGTACGGGGATGTTATATTATTTTCGATCTTTTATTATATTTTTTTTTTCTCGCTAGAGACTGGTTTTTGTACAAATTTGAAAGTTGTAGTGAAACGAAAAAAATATTTGAATAATTTCGGTTATAATTTTGATCATATACTATTTTACCTGTACTCTTGATTCGGGAAGATTGATTTTACTGGCCACATCATCCCTCATGAAGATATCCGGATAACGCGTTTTTAAGAATAATGCTTCTAATACGTCTAGTTGAGATCTTGTAAACGTTGTTCGTTCTCGTCGTTGTTTTCTTTGGGACCCTAAAACAAACAATATCAAAAGACGTGAAAAGGAGTGAAGCGTAAAATAGCAGCTATTATAAATTATTTCAATAATATGTAGATATATCATATATTAAATAATCGGCTTAAAACAATTTTCCAAAGTGGATTATGTAGCATTATTTTATTATTCAGCGATTTAATTCAAATTAAAATTTTATTGCGTTATTTTGTTGAGTAGAGTTTACATTTTAAACCGATTTTGTCAGCCTATTGTTATCAAAAGAGAATATTGATGGATAGGTATATTTTTATCCAATAAACAATTTTTCATAAATACAAAAACTTGATTTTTTATTTTCATTAAGTAATATAAATTTATATTTTAAAACTAAAACTATAAATTAAATACATGTGATATTTCACGGACCGTTCAATTATTTATAAATAAAACATCAGCTCGTGCATTACCACAACACTTTTGAACAAAAGACTTTTATTTCACGCCATTCCACAATTAGTCTGTTTTGTTGTTTAAATCAACGTTGTAGCTAACTACATAACAGCTAACTACTTCAGTATTATTCAAATAAAATAATACAGACCTAAGGTTGCATGTAATTGAATGAGAAATTATGTTATAGATAAAAAATACTTCATTTATAATATTTATTTATAACGTAGTATCTAAATATTGTATTTACAAAAACCGTATAAGAAAATTTTTGAAGTTTTTACATAAATCTTAGATTATAATCAACTCAAAAGATCTAATCAAAAGAACAGAATTTAACAAAGCTAATAAGCAGATTCAAAAGGCGTTGAAGGATGGTCTTCAACCATCCTGTTGGAACGTTCTGGTCTTCTGTGAAGAAATAAACGAATTTCAAACGAGATAAGCAGTCTAAATATTGTGCTATGAAGCTAAGGAACTATTTAAAATGTTCAATGCACACTAAATCACATCACTATGTCTTGCCCACGACTACAAACAATAATTATACTATTTTTAATGGCATAAATAACTTTCAAATCAATGGTTTACATATTATGAACTTTCTAACATATGGACAGCTATTACAGAATTACAGCTATTACTTGACAGAATTACTAAAATGCATGGAAATTCCGATAGACTTCAGTTATCAATAAACTTTCACGAATTCAACGAGTAGCTGGATTGGCAATCTCTGGTGCGATAAGCACAACGCCAACTCTAACAATGGGTGTTCTGCTTGGCCTATCTCCTTTGCATTTGCATATAGAGAAAGTGGCTAGAACTACCATTTGCAGGTTTAAGCAATCTGCTCAAAACTACTCCGACATGTCCTACCAATGGGCTGCGCTAGACACTATAAGCACTGATATTGTGCTATCAATACCGTCAGATTTGATGGGATCACTACCCAGTGATCCTAAGTGATTAATGGTTGATACCAGATTGTACCGCCTGAACGGCAGTCCTGGATCGAAAATGAAAATACTCTGGTTCAGGTAGATATTTGCAAGTGCTAGAAACTTCGGATTAAGCAAGCTTACAGCCTCGGTACGTACTGTACTGCATTGGAGGAAGAAGTATTTGGTATTGACATGGATGTTAAACTCCTTCTTGAACAGACGTACGTATCGGCTCTGGTTAATGACTGTAAAAGAACTTTAAACACACTGAGTTGTGATAACAGAGTTGCTCTGATTTGGGTGTCAGATCATTCTGGAGTTGCTGGCAATGAAGCGGCAGATGAGCTAGCATAGATAGCAAATATAGGATTGGACTGTGGGCTGAAGAGAGACTTCGCCTACTGTGCACCAGTTCTCCTGGAATGAGACACGCTAAGTTGATTATTAACATCGCTACTGTCAAACCCGGGAATATTTTAGGACTTGCTCGTAACAGCATTAAAGTTCTAATGGGTGTCTTTATTGGGCACTGCCAATTAAAGACACTCGGTTAATGGTATCAGATTCTCAATTTTTGGGTCGCAGTTTATCTCCTCAAAGGATTTGAATGACTTTTCACCGAACAAGACATTAAGGTTCGTTAATAGCATTGGACTGCACGGTGAAATTTGATAATGTTATCTATCGGGGTATAATAGATCTTTAAGGTCGCGGTGTAAGATTGGTTATTCGGCCTACCCTATTTATAATTTATGTTATATAATGTAATGTAAATCCATCCTAGAACAGCAGGAACATCCGTTGGATTTACCACAAGACGACTCGTAAATTTTTCTCTATAGAATAGTTGAATTTGCGATTTTTGATACAAACGACTGGAAATAATTCTTGCGGCAAGTTAAGTGCTTAAAGTTAAAGATACACTTTTGTTTCGTTTTCCTTTATAAAAGTTATAGTTTGTGCGTTAGGTGAAAAACTTTAAGGTAATGCGTTTTTTATGTTTCATATGAATCTCAGAAACGTGGTATAATTAAGACAACCCCTAAAAATCTTAATTTTGAAAATTATAAACTGACTTCTATATCAAATTTAAGCTTGAAAAATATATCAATCATGGTTTTAATTTGAAACCGATTTCATCTAAAAAGTTATAAACAATCGCTGTTGTTAGGATTCTATCCACTCCTGCAAATCATCAGATGAGGAAGCTTACAATACGGTTATATGCTGTGCTATATTTCAAGCAGGATCCTTCTATACGAGAGCAATTAAGTACAAGTCCATATCGTTCTCAATTTAATTGAATTCAAATAGCTAAACTATGTTAACCAAATTGTAATTCTATTTCTCTCACTATAAATAGGTAGTTATGCAATTAGAAAACATTCTATATTTAATTCTTTTTTTCAAATAAGATTAATACTTCGCCAATAGAATGAGACCAATGTTCTTGCAAAAAATATTTGTACGGGTAGTAACAATTTGTCTTTATTTTTAAGTAATAATCTATTTTGTTTAATCGGAACACAACGGATTTGGTTGAGACATATTTTGCCACATTAATTTGATATAATATATGAAATGTATGTATACATGAAACGTCTAAATTTCCACTTTAATTCCGATATACAGGTGATTTATTAGCTCACCATCAAACTTTGACATATGATAGCTAATCCAATTGCCAAAAAAAAAATATTAATGAACGTATGTCCTATTTCAATTATTTAGGAACACTTTAACGTTTTCTGCAGCGAATTTATTAATGGTCAGTAAAATCAAACATTCAACAAAAACAAAGTTGTCCTGATAATATGTCAGTTTGCGGTAAAGTTTAATTATTACATACAAGAATAAACTTAAAATGTACGCTTATAGCACTGAAGAGTATGCTGATATAATTTTCGTGTATAGTTTTTGCAATGGAAATGCTCGACAAATAGTACGAGAATATCAAGAAAGATTTCCTCAGCGTCATTTGCCATATTATTCAGTTTTTAGCGATTCTTTCAGAAGACTTCGAGAAACAGGTAATTCTGCTCCAGCAAAAGCTCTTCGACCACATGTAGTTAATATAGAGGACGGAAAAGCTGTAATTAATGCTGTCATTGATAATCCTTAACATGCCCAAAATAATGACTTCATTTCAAATGTTCTCTGGACAGATGAATCATGTTTTACACGAGATGGTATAAATAATTACCATAATGAACGTATCTGGGCATTACAAAATCCGCATGCGATTAGACCATGGAAATTTCAACAACGTTTCAGCATCAACGTTTGGGGTGGAATATTTAACAACAATTTGCTAGGTTTGCATGTACTTGATAGATGTAAATTACAGTTTTTTTTTGAACAATACACTTTTTGATTTACTTGAACATATACCTCTTAATGTAATTCAAAATATATGGTACCGAGTGGTTAAACCAATATTTTCCAAACAAGTGGATTGGTAATAATGGTCCATTTGCTTGGGTCAAATGAAACAAATTGTATATTAAGTGTCAAAATTTGATGGTGAGCTAATAAATCGCCCTGTATAACTTAAAAATGTTCTCCTTTGCATGGAAAGTTATGATACCATTTCCAAAATAAATCAAAAAGTGTAAGAACTGTGTACATAGTTTAAAAAGTCGAGAACAAGATTACGAATCAATTCCAAAAAAGAATTACTAGTGCGAAAATATCTTTAGTATAACAGGTTGAAAATGTGCTGTTGGAATGAGAATAGTAATTGTTGTTGAACATGGACGAGAGTGATAAAAGGCAACAATTTTCCAGCCGCTCGGCATTTGGAAAGCAAACCATTCGCATGAAATCCGAAAATGCGATTAGCGATATAGAATAAAACTGTTGGGAGTGGCTTGTTCGTTCGTCCGTTCGTTGTATGTGTGCACACACAAAACCGACGAGCGGGTGGCAACGGTGACGGTGGCGGCATCGTCCCCCGACGTATTTGTTTATAATTCCATAAGCCCTGTTTGTGCGGTTAAACATATTTGTAATTGAAATTATTTATATATACGATAATCGCATATTTGGGTCAATTATTTTAAATTATACCGTTTCAATTAACGTTGCACGCCGCCCGTTCCCGTAATAATTAAAAAATCGATTTGCGACGCGTCCGATTTCACTCATATATTTTACTCCGTTTTAATGCGTTTTAATGTATCAATTTATAATAACGCTAAATTACGATAAACGGTATGTTAAATATTTATTGATGTGACGTTGAGCTCCCTCAAAATTCTCATTTTTCTTGATCACCATTGTATTACATTGTAATCAGTTTATTTATTAAATAATAAGATTAAAGTTTTTGAATCCCTTAATTTCAACAAATTATATTATTATTAATAACATAAATTTGATGTTTTTTACAAAGTATTTTCTTTTATATGTATACATAGACTATCGCTGTAAAATAGAATATAAAAAATGTATATAGTAATTACCCCCTGGGTAACTCATGGACGTGTGGAGTGCGTCAACTGGCAATCCATGTAACCCTAGACCAGGAACTGGATACGGTCCGGACTTCAAGTAAGCCATACCGGAGGGATTTCCAGGACAAGTTGTACCAAATCCGGGAAATGACAAATCGTTTTCTGGGCATCTGAAACAGTGGATAGAAAATAAAATAAATACAATGTCAAAACTTTGTAGTTTTCTACAAATAATGTAGCAATTTTTTAAAGATGTAATACCAATATACGAAAAGCATACAACCACACGAGAAAATTTAGTTTTAATAGTAAAGTGATATCAATTTAAATATAATTTTGTTCAACATAACCATGAGCAGTATTAACGTTTTGTCTTCAAAGTATCCGTAAACCTGAACTGGTTGGTTTTAAGCTATTTGCGTGGTTAAAGAGGTTATTTTTGTTTCATATCTATCAATAAATGTAATTTTGTCAGTAAATCTGATTATGGTTTTTAAAAACGTCGTCTTTAGCCTGATGCACGTTAAATTATCCTCGAAAACATTGCTGAATGGTGTATACTTAACTCTGACAATAAGACCTAAACCAAGACTTGTAATGTTAGGTGGGAGAAAACCTACGAATTTAAAAAGTTATAGGTACTTAGAAAGACATTCTCCAGATTACGAAGTATTTCATGAGCCTTATGCAGTATTTAAGTTAAATAGTTATGAGCGACTTGGTAATGGGGAAATCTGGTTATTATTAAAATTTGCATTAAATCTTTTGAACACTGTTTATCTTAAACGGTTTTGTGCTACACATCACCTGCCACCCTTCTCAATTCATACAAGCTTCTGCGATGTTATCTAGATCTCTGGTTAGAACTGCTCTCTTTGGTGACTTTAAAATAACAAAACTTCTAGCTTCGTGCTGTGAATCACCAGGAAATCACAGTAATTTTATCAACGATTTAAGGTTCAAGTCCAATTTTGACTTATATTATTCATATAATAATAAAGTAAGTTGTTGATCTCAATATTTTGCTCTATATTACGGCGAGTTTATAGAGTTCTGAATAAACGAGTTCTCAAAGTACATCAAGGACAACTTCGCTTTTGGGCGTTTATATATTTTTTAGATATATCATTTGAGTACTAAAGAAATATATTTGTGATATTCCTATCAATGAATGCAGATTACTCTAAGAAAAGATACCGTATGGTGCGTCGATGGTGTGGTATGATCGGAATACTAGGGTCGTACTTTTTCGAAGAAAATAGCCGTATGGTGCAACGACTGAAGGTAGGAAATGATGACTTGTGGTTGCACGATGGAGCAACATGTGCATACTGCGTGAATTTTCATGGCTACTCTAAGAAACATGATTCCTGGACAACTTGTATCTCGACCACCATACTTAATCAGCCCTGATTTCTTCTTATAGAGATATTTGAAGGCTACGGTTTTTGCAAATAGATTTCAAGCGCTACAAGGTTTAGAAGACAACATTACTCAAAAAATCAGAGCGGTAAACCATAGATACAGCTCCGAAACGTGGTTGTTAAAACATAATTGTTGTAAAACCGCATTACATATTCACTAAAAATATATGTTTTTCAGTTTAGTCGTTTCATTACGATAACCATAATAATACTCTAAAAGCCGTCAATATCCATTACGTCATCTTGTAAAATCTACTCGGATGTTTGAATTCCGCATCACCATACAATTGACCAACCGATATTGCAACACATTCGGTACAATGTCATCGGTACACCCTTAATCCCTGGGCTTGTTGTTACAACCAAGATGTGGATTTACTTTAAGTTCGTCTTAAATTAAATTGGACAGCACAAGGATCAAGGGGTTTCCCAATTTAAGTGCTCATCCACTGCCAACAACGAAGTCGAATCACCTGTATACTGAACCTCAACCAAATGAAGAACAAATCGGAACACTCCGAACAGTATAAATGTTCTAAAGAGCTCCTGAATAAAGACGCTTTCCTTGAGCCAGGAACAAGATGTTGTCTACCATAAGGTTCAGTGATAATGGATTTTATCGTTAAGGAATTAAAGAACACACCGTCTTTTTATTTACGTCGAAACATGAGATAGATGGGAATGACCAAAGACATATCGCATCTGGGTTCAAATCTGTAATGGAAAGAACATAGAAGGATGTCATTCAACTGATCAACATTTACACTGCAAGAAATGTGGAGGAAAATAGAAAAAAACTGAATCATATTATTTCAATAATAATATTTTGTGGGTTTACCAAAATTTAAAGCCCAGCAGGTTATTGTGTGTTGCAAGATCACTTCAACACAAAGTGATCACAAAGTATATTCCAAGTAATGGATATCTGGGGTTAAGTTCTAGGAAAACAATCGTTGATGCGGCAAAGAAATGTCACGGTTTTTCTATTTTAGCGGACAAAACGTCTGACATACTAGGGAAAAAGCAATTATCCATCGGTATTTGACGTATTGCCTAAAACCATATAAAACCAAAGAACAAGTCTTAAGATTTCGACTATTAGAAAAGCTTAACGCACAAACTTGAGTAAAAAAATTTACATGAAGTACCCAAGCCAAGTTTCTTTTGCATCTTGCTAAAATCTAGAGTGTAATGAAGCTATAAGAATGAAATCTCATCAGCTATATTTGACACTGTTGCAATCAAACTGCCCTATTTCATGGTCATAATAGCAAAGTACACGATAATGTTTTTTAATGTATTAGCATTAATTTTCTTAATACAACACAAACTGTATGATTTTCTTATTATTTTTAACAACCTCGAATCTAACATATTTGATGACTAACCTACAATTGCCTAATCATTCTATACAACATTTTTGTGAAGAAGCTGACATACAGGTACAACAAACATTTCTTGACGCTATGAAGAAAATTAAATTTTTTTCCAGCAGTAGTAGCAGTACTGTAACGAGTTTTCTGCCAAGGATAGATTCCATTGAAAGATGTTTTAGTATGACTAATTAGAAACTGAACGGACTGTGCTAAGAAGCTGAAGAACATCAATGTTTTTATTTCTTTCTGGCAGACACCGAATAAAAGGACACCACATCAAGATTAATAACGCCGTTCGTCAGTTTTCACTTTGTAAATGATTCATAAAATCATGAATATCATCATCAATAAGATACACTGTTTCAATGTTTTTATATGATCTGCTGGAGAAAATCTGGCAAGTGGATTGAACCTTTTTCACCTTTTTAAATAAATAAATAATAAATGAAGAATAACCATAAAGAGGATTCAGCTATAAAATATAGACCAAATTGAGTTACCGGAACTGGCAATTTATCCTGAAGTCATATTTTGAAGTATTTAATATTTGTTCATAATAGATGTTTTGCAGATATAGTTAGTGCCATACAAAAAAGTGTGAAAAAGTAGAGTGTACTTAATTGACACCGTAAATATGGATCTTTTTTAGTAAATTATATGAATGAATTCATTTTTTTAAATATGCAACAGCTCATAGATCCACCCCATGATCTACCTGATCTTAATCACATCTTATCTCCCCTAATTAGCACAACTATTACTTCGACAATGTGCACCGGCAAAGTATAAGAAGATTATTCACCCTCTCCTTCACCTTCCACCCTACAATACCCTATACTAATACAAATGAACCAGACGGACTTAATTTTTAGACAACTCTGTAGTACGCCGACACATGTCCACGATCAAAGCTACTCTTCACTAAATAGAGCACGGTAAAGACCGTACTAAAGACCATCTGCTGTCATCTATCAATTATCATCGGGTACCTAAAAACCAACTCGTTAGCGTTCTTCCTAAACCTCCCCCAATTTGCTTTATTTGCAAATCTCGTACGGACTTAAACGGCGTAGCTCCTCCCGTATCACCCTAAAAGCATCTGAGGCTAATGGTCGGCATCATTAACTTTATCAAGAGAGCAGGATCACGATGCGGATAATTTGATTGTATCTTCTACCCTTGTTTAAAGAATTTGAGGAGTTATTAAAGATGGAAAAAATCAACCTGAAAAGTGTTTAAAAGCGGCACATTTTCAAAGTAACAATGTATCCATTCAATTTTAGAATCTAATCGAGCATGTACGAGCAACAAACAACCTTGATCTTCTGGGAATCCCAACATTTTCTGGATATTTGCTTTTCACTTTGTTCGGAACGGTTCCTTACTGTCTGCAAGGGAAGATGCCGAGGTCAAACTGAATGGGATTTGGAAAAGATAAAGGCTTTTCTGAACGAAATATAGCTGGTTACTAAGGAAGTATGAAAAGGGAATGGTTTTCAAATGCAATAACAAAATAATAAAAAAAGCTTTGTCTTTAAAATCTTCAGATTATGACAAAAGTGGTAACAATTTCGGATTTAATCTGAAAAAAAGGAGATTGAAAAAAGTTATGATGGGGGTTGGTATAAAAGTGGATTGAACGGTTTGACGTGTGAGTTTATACATATATTCCCAAGCCAATTGCCCCTTTTTAAAAAAGAGAAATAAAAAGGGCTATACAGAGAGTAAAAGGAATCAAAGTCCGATCCGACGGTGGCGTCCAATTTCATCAGCTTGTCCCCGATTCCACGTTTCCCCTCGTCGATGTCGTCCTCATTGTCCTTGGCGATGGCACCGGGATCAAATTTCGACCGGTACCGGAGTCACACCTTAAGCGTCGTCGAAGGCTCTTAATCCCCAGGTACAAAGGGTACGTCATACCATGCCAGATTAAGCCAGATTATAATACGTTTTAAACAAGTAATATTAAGAATCGTAGTTTTTCCAGTCTGCAGTGACCTGAATATTAGAAGACATCTTTTCTGGTTACCTGAATCTAGACGTTTATAAATTTTGGATTACGGTGGGTGAATCGAGTTGAGTACTTTTTCTTTCCTTTTTTAGAAAGTCCAAATAAAGGTATTATGTAAATGAGTTTTTTTTCTTTTAAACTGCCTTTGTGATTATAACAAAAAGATAACCGATTCCTCCGGCCAATTAGGGTGGGCGGAATCGATGAATGCATAAAAGGGTGCGATAATAAAAACAATAAACAGGGTGAGGCACGCGCCGCTAATAGAGTTGTCTAGTCAGAGGATAGAGAGGAGGGTCCTTATCTAACACCGCACTCTTGCCGGCAGCCCTCCGATGACCATCAACAGCCCTGTTATGTACTTTGCCACTGGAGAGTTGAGATAACAACCGTAAAAGATTAGGGTCGGGTAACTGTTTCACCCCGGGACGACAACGTACAAATCACTACACAACAAACGTCCAAAACCTATAAACACTAATTTACCTAGGATCACCACAAATAAATAATCACTACCTGTATTTAAGTAATTTGATAAATTAACTTTGAATATTAATTTGAAGATGATGGTTTTAGTACTTACCCAGATGTGAGACTGTTTGGCCACATTTACTTCCCGTCTGAAAGTAATAAAAGAAATATATAGTTCACAAAAAATTAAAATCGAAATATTACAACTTTATAAAATGATTTTATTTAATAAATGAAAGTATTTAATTTATATTTAATATTTAAATCTGTATTTTATATTTACAAATAAAGTATACAGAAAATGATGTTTGTAGAATAATATGACGTGTATTGAATATGTTTGGTCAGTGCTCTTGTTGAAAGCTCGCGGCATTTATCGTCGGTTTAATAAAGCTCAACTTACAAAAGCGACGGTTCGAGTGGTGGTAGGCAGCGTGTCGTTTTATTAGCTAGCCAAATGCCAAATGAACATGCCTACAAGTGTTGTCCCATTGTGCTCGATCGTTCTGGCGCGCTCCTCCACTTTCGGATTAGCGGTCTGGTTCTATATTAGAATTTCCCGAGGATTACTTTTTCCTCGATGCTCATTCAACGACCCGCCAACTCACCAACCCTTCGCCGCAAACGTATATTAAATATTTCGTCGGAGTGAACAGTCAACATTTCAGTGCTCTGTTTGCAAAGAAATGAATGTAGGAATAAGAGGAATGTTTAATAACGTTCCTTTCATTAAAACTTTTTATGCAAACCTTTTTTTTATTTATTTTATTTAAAATTTTTTTATGAATTCAATCATAACTTAAATACGGTGATATGAGGACTTGATTTAGAAGAATTTCTATAACAAAAGCTACAATTTTTTTTTTGAAACTATCTTAGAAGCAAGAAAAGAGCAGCACAGGAAACACAACAGATAACATAAAAAGGAACACGTTTTCGCACACGATTTGTTTGATATGCCTTTGGATAATAGCTTTCAAACAGATTTAGAAGAAATTGAAAACAAACAATTTCAACATTAGTAATAAAAGAACATCGATGATAACGAATATTAAAAATCAAAATGCAAACAGACTTTGTCTATCAAAGCAATCTCTATGCTATGCAAAAAATTAAGATACTAATTCTAAAAAGAGGGCAACTTTGAGCTTTCATTGGTATTGATGAATTTATCATTTCTAGTCTTGTCTGTTGTCAATGTCAAAAGTTCGATTTGATTCAATTTTGTCAAATACATATGTCAGTTACAATGAAATAATAGCAAGTAATAATAAGGATAAATTATTCAAACTAAAGCCAATGATTTGTCAACTAAACATTACATTTGAAAAACTTTACAGGAAAAGCAGAAGTGAGTGTAGACGAATTAAGATACCGTTCAAACCCCGAATTTTAATCAAACATTACAATAAAACGAAAAGTAGCTACAAATTGTGGTGTCTTGCAGACTAAAAGGCATATATTATACATTTTGACGTTTACCAAAGGAAGGATGCTGAAATTGCGGAAATATAGACAGATTGACCTAGGAGAGGGAGTAGTTCTGAAATTAACAGAAAATCAATGGTGCAAAGGAAAAATGATTTGTTTTGGTAACTGTTTTACGTCTATTTGCTTATTAGATTTTAGTTAACTGCTAATTAGAAAAACTAAAATCGGAAAATACTTTTGTTTGAGGTGCTACAAAAGATTTTAAATGATGTTGGCTATTTCAAATGGAGAGATAATAAAGTTATGACCTTTCCAAATCAAACCATATTTGTCAATAAAAAGCAGAAAGACGGAATATCAATTAGTATTCCTTGAATTGATATTGTCAGCGACTATAACAAGAATATGGATGGAATAGATCATGCAGATCAGTTTGATCTATTTATGGACTAAGTTGTGTATTAGAAACAAAGAACCTCTAAGAATTGTAGTAAAAAAAAGAAAAGCGGATTATTCACGCCAACCCACGCCAGATTATTTAACTATACACTATAAAAATCAGTAGAATACGGACAGAAAGACTACGGTTGATAGCCCTTTTAGGCCAACTTTGCACTGAAGATGCCAGGTGAGATCTTGGGGAAACGTCTGTCCCTTTCCAAAGGGAACCAACAGGAAGAACGGATGAAATCTCGGATCGACCACAACAACACATACTTTTCCATCCGTGAAGCACTACGCATTACCATTTATTATTTTTATATATATATTTTTTTTATGTTGTAATTATTATTTGTTGGCGTGAATAAATTTTGTTATCTTTCTCTCTCTCGGTAGAATACTAGTTTTAATTTAAATAAAATTAGAAAATTCTGAACACATACTTTTTTGTCTTCTTTATATATTCAGGCAAATAAGGCTTAATGATTTGTCTTCAAATACGGATCGTACTTTTTATAGCAAACTGTTCCAACATTTGAGCTAAACTGTTCCATCGAGTTTTACAGCCTAAAATAAGATTGAATCTATGCAGTGTAATATAATTCTGGAGAACATTATTTTTTAATGTAAATAACTTTACGATCTGTATTTGTTCATTGTCTTCATTTAGATCAAAACCACCGTCTTCAATATTGTTAATGTCGTCTTCACTACTACTTATGTTGCCACCAGTTTCACTGTTTTTATAATAATAGAGAACAAATTACGGCAATCACTGCAAGTTGAATGCCATGACCAAAACACAGTTACTGCAGTTGTCGGGCATATCAATTTTTCCAATTAACGAATGTTAAGATACAACAACGACTTTTGTGTTTCGGGCGTTGTATTTCGACAGTGGAATTGTCAAATATATCAATACATTTTGAAAAAATTCAATTTTGAATAGTTGATGTAGAAATTGGTGTATTCTGAAATCCCCTTACTTCATATCCTTTCCTTAAAGCCCTAGACGCAATAAAAGCTCTAAATGGGACTCCATCTAATGCTACTATTCGAGCGATGACAGCATCTAAAGAGTTATCTTCTTGATTGGCATCAATAAGGAAGTAATTCATTAGTCTCCTTTTTTGTTACAATTTGGGAAAATTAGAAAGAAGAAGTAGTAAATGTGCTAGGGTGGATTTTGCGCCACGTTTAACGTGTATTAACGTTATTAATTTACTTCAAATTGTTGGACAGGTACACGAACAAGTAGACTACTAACTTAAAGCATCGGTAAATCCAACGAACCGACAAACATTGTAAGTCGTAATTCGTTCCCCTATCAATCTAAATATTTCACAGGCCACGTGAAAAGTTTTGTCAGCCGGTCATCCATTAGCTACAGTCGGAGCCTCGACGTGTTGTCGGCTTATGACTAGTTATCGTTATACTTTAATTATTTTTACGGAAATTCGGAAATTTTTAAATTACGATACTTCTTAGTGATCCCAGGACAAAATTCTTTTTAACGAAATCCCGAGAGCAAATACCGGAAATGGACACCCAAAAATCGTTCTAGTGTTGATGCCATTTTCATTGTCAGACAGGTTATTGAAAAAGTAATAGTGTATAACAAAGTAGATTTCGTCTGACTCGTTAATATAACCAAACCGTTAGACGAATTGTAAGTACGGATGACATCATGAATATCATTAAAACAATAGCAGAAATCAACACTTGCAACGCAACAATAATTAAAAGTAATTTACAAACATCAGAGCAAATGGATGTACAGAGAGGCATCCGACAAGGCGACAGCCTCAGCTTCTTGTTATTTAATCTACACATGGATAGAATAATAGACCAACTAAATAAAATGAACTATGGTTACACATGAGTTGGCATAAAATCAAGATTGTGTGCTATGCAGACGACGCTGTTCTATTGGATGATATTGAAGATGATATTGATTAACACAGGCTTTTAACATTGCAGCTGACGAATTAAATATGTAAACCTTGGTAAGCAATCCCAATAGCATGACAATAGCAAGAGAAAACCCTAGATACGAAATAGTTAAAATTAATAACAAGATCATCGAACAAATATCAGAATATAAATAAGGCAACTAGAATCGCTGGTGTATGATGATCGCTGACCTATGAGGACATAAATATGCGGGGAAGCAGTGGAGGCGTCAGAATAAAATGAGCGTATCGAACAAATGCGATAAAAATCCTGACAACAGTAACGGGTAATTCGCTGATGAATAATCGTAGAACCAATATTGGAGTTGAGTTAGATTCCAAGTTGATTATGATGGGTATAGGCGAGAAGCAGAAATAGGAACGAGCATATATCTGGGATGGATAACAATAGATTGGTCAAGATCCACCAGGATCCTAAGATGCATGTTGTACCCATTTGTAGAGTTATCATTAAGAAGGAGAAAGAAAACGCCAAACAATGAGCATACTAATGCACAGTATATCAACACTCCTACACCTTTGCAACTGCTGACGATCAAGTCGTGATTGCACAGGATATTGATGATACTGAATATATGACAAGCAAACTAATTGAGGAATATGATTAGGATCTGCATCCTAATAATTCAAATTTTTCTTTGATCAAATCTAAATCCCTAACAAGATCGTTTAGCTGTAATTGATCAATCAAATATGCTTCTGTACTAGTTACAGTTATGTCTTGCAATTCCTCTCCACTAGAACAATCACTATCTTCTTCAATAGAACTCGACTTGATGAACTCTAAGATCACTTCAGTAATAAATTTCAGAGGAATAAGACAGCGGCATATTTTACAGAAAGTTTCGTTTTTTTAAAAATAGTGGCGTTATACCAACCCCTCAAATCAAGAATCTTAAAGTTCAATTTTAAAAGAAGCTTTATAACACTCTTCAAACAATTGGAATATTAACTTTTTTCACTGTTAGAAGTAGGCAGAAGTAGGTAATATAACAAATAAACTTGAAGAATTTACACAAACGCGCGGTATTTTGTATATTTAATTCTAACTACTAACAATTGTTGCGTTTAAGCAAAGTAAATCACTAACAATTAGTTAAATAGATGGTACAATGCGATTTAACATCTTTTGAAGTTAATTAGGAAAGAAATTGAGTTAACATAATGAGTTTTTGATGAAATGTGAACTGTTAATTAAATAATAGACAGATTTACTTTACACTGACGTGCCAAATATAAAATCATTTGGATCTATATTTTTGTTATAAAACCCACTTCCTGTACCCACTTTCAGATAGCTTGAT